CAAATGGGCTTTTGTAGTGTAACTTTTTCCAAAAAAAATTCAAGAAGAAAAAAGAATTGATGAATGGAGAAAAAAATTACTGGAAAAATTGTATTTCAAAAATTTTTATTTAAAATTGAGAAGCAAATGGGCTTTTGTAGTGTAACTTTTCAAAAAAAAAAACATTCAGGAAGAAAAGAGAATTGATGAGTGGAGAAAAAAATCGCTGGAAAAATTGTATTTCAAAAATTTTTATTTTAAATTGAGAAACAAATGGGCTTTTGTAGTGTAACTTTTCCCAAAAAAAATTCAAGAAGAAAAAAGAATTGATGAATGGAGAAAAAAATCGCTGGAAAAATTGTATTTCAAAATTTTTTATTTGAAATTGAGAAGCAAATGGGCTTTTGTAGTGTAACTTTTCCCAAAAAAAACATTCAGGAAGAAAAAAGAATTGATGAATGGAGAAAAAAATCGCTGGAAAAATTGTATTTCAAAATTTTTTATTTGAAATTGAGAAGCAAATGGGCTTTTGTAGTGTAACTTTTCCCAAAAAAAATTCAAGAAGAAAAAAGAATTGATGAATGGAGAAAAAAATCGCTGGAAAAATTGAATTTCAAAATTTTTTATTTGAAATTGAGAAGCAAATGGGATTTGTAGTGTAACTTTTCCCAAAAAAAACATTCAGGAAGAAAAAAAAATTGATGAATGGAGAAAAAAATCGCTGGAAAAATTGTATTTCAAAATTTTTTATTTGAAATTGAGAAGCAAATGGGATTTGTAGTGTAACTTTTCCCAAAAAAAACATTCAGGAAGAAAAAAAAATTGATGAATGGAGAAAAAAATCGCTGGAAAAATTGTATTTCAAAATTTTTTATTTGAAATTGAGAAGTAAATGGGCTTCTGTAGCGTAACTTTTCGCAAACGAATAGTGAAATTGTAGAATTGTTCGGGAGAAAACTACAAGAATTGCAATTTTCCGTAGATTTTTTTCTCCGAGTAAAATGATGAATTACGAATGATTGGATTACCACATACCTATGTTGCACGAATTCTACGGATAAATAACGGCTCAAGGATCGCCCGAACGCATTGTTACTCGGTCATAATGATAATAAATAAACACAGATTGCACTGACGAATTTCACTCGTTGGATATGATTGATGGGTTCCAATTGCAGTCGAGGGAAAAATGGAGCAACAGTTTTGTTAATTAATGTTTAATTTCTCAACAGGATACGAGGGTTTGGGGCGTGGGGAGAGCGGCGCAGGTCTTGACTCCGCGATGAATGGAGGTGTACTGGTGTTGAACTGTTTTGTTGGACGTCTGTGGGATACGAGGAGACTGTGCGTCATGATTCTCAGCGAGGCCAATGCGCACCAGCCCCGGCTGGGCTCGGGCACTGGCGGGGACGGCCCCGGGTGAACCTCTCGGGATGCGGAGGAGAGCATCATCGGTTGGAATTTTTTCGCAGTGGTTTGCATTGTTCATTATGTATTGAAATCCTTTATTGAGGTTTTACGGGAGAGATTGGAGCTTTTCGATGGTCTAGAATGGCGAACGATTAACGATGCTGTGGGAATTTTTTGTTAATGGGGGTACGGAATTGTTTGAGGATTTGTTTGGCTCGCGGTATCTTTGAGTTGATTATTTCCCTGAAAACAAGTGGAAAATTGCTCTTGTATTGCATTAGTATAGTTATTTTTGCGAATAAATTAGCGATATGCTTCCGAATGGTTATTTTGCACATCATTTCCTTTCATGATGTGTAATTCATTGTCTATTTCATTTGATTAAATTGAATAACATTTCTTTTTAACTAATTCTGTCAGATTTCCAACTTAGTTGAATGTTATTGTCGCCATTATTCTTATTATCCCTATTTTCTATACAACCGATAGTCTTTTTTACACTGATAGAAAGGATTAGTTATTGTTAACGAATGGATTTGGTTGGGGACGAGGGTCTATTCGATTTCACCAAATGTTCATTCGTTAATAGTTAACGAATCTCGTTTGGAATAAATGAATCAGTTTATTAGTGTACGGTTCTACTTGGCCGATACGCTACCGCGTATCTCGATCTCTCCCCTCAGCCCGTCGATAAAACGTTAATAGAAAAATTTTATTTATACATACTTGAATGAATTTGAAACATCACATTTGAAGAAACCATGAGCAAGCTCATTTTAAGGGAAATTCAGGAAAAATGCGAAATTTTTAACAATCATCATAAAAATTAAATCAATCAATATAGCTATCGTAATCATATTTTAAATTCGACTTATTGGCATTAAAACAATATGATATTTAAAGGTATCCCCGGTATTCTGATTTTCAAGAAATGCAAAATTTTTGCAAATTGTCAAATAAATCAAAATTACGATTATTGCTATCGCCTTCGTCTTCGAACTCGGTCAAACACTGTCAAAAAATAGTGTTCGACACATGCAATCCCTCTCACTCGTATTGAAATATACTAATCCGATACTTGCGAGACGAGATTTTTCAGCTCGTCTGATTGGCAGCCCTCGGCTTCGCCTCGGGCCGTCAACTTCACGCTCGTAAAAATTCCGTTTCACTCGTACCGAAATATACTATTTCGGACTATGTATTTGAATCATACTGAGTCGATACAACACAAAAAATCTAAAACTTAAGGGTGCCAAGTGAATTTGACGATGACCTTGAAAATTTACATTCACCAACAAAATTATAATTTTTTTAGTTAATAGTATTAGACAGATGGTGAACATCGGTGACAATTTGAAAATTTTAGAACTTATGGATATCGAGAAATTAAATAAACAAAATCAGTCTTATACACGGCCTCTTATGGAGTTTTGATTAAATTGAACGTTTCAACCCCCTAGGAACTCAAGAAAAATTTGAAAAAATTTGAAGATATGGGGAATGATGTGTTCAATGTGATGGCGACAAAAAACAATGGGGTACCGGGGTGAATAAGAGAGATATTTCAACCCGCCGTACCCATTTGATCCCATGCTTTCTCGAGGTTCGTCACGCGAAATAGAGGATTTTCCGCATTTATTTTCTCGGTGTCTAGCTCTGGTTGCGGGTTTGAAATTTCGTCGGATGGATGAATACATATTTCTCCAATGATGGAGGGAAAGAAAAAATTTTTTTGAATCTTTTTTCAAATTCACTTGGCACCCTTAAATGTGAACGATTACAAAGCTTCCATTCGGAAGCAAAAATTTTAATTTCATTGGCAAGCGACTGGTATTTTCCAGAGTAGTGACATTAAATTTAGGGGTTTAGGGGTAAAAAATCATAGAAATTCACATTTCATTGTCAATCGAATAAAATTTCAAATTTTTAAACAGCATTAAGACGAGAATTCCTCAACTTATTTGAATTTTCAATGAAAACATGAATATTCAGGGCCAAATTACGATGCATTTTCAACTAACGATATCCAAGTAATTTCGACATTTTGGTAGAGACTACAGAATTCTCATAGAAAAAATGATAACAGCAGAGATCTTTTTGAAGAACATCACCTTTTACTGCATAATAAGCAATAGAAATCGAAGAAAAAAGAGAGAAAACGAATAAAATGTTTATAGAATGTCAATAGAACCCTTTAGGGATATTTTCTATTGCATCTTTCCGCACCGGAAGTCTTCATATCGGTGAATATTTGCTCCACCCAAATTTCCAGCTCCATTAGTTCCTCCAGAACGTGAAGAAAGAAATTCGAAAAAGAAATCGCTGCCTGATTGACCGGCCACTAATGGAGGTGAATGGATCGTCTCGCAGAGTTTTCAGGGGTCATTTTTTTGGGTATCAGAGAGCTTGGAATTTTTTTCTCTTTAAAAAAGAGGACAATTTTACCGGGATTCCATCAGTTTTTCGTACACTTCTATTCGAAATTTTGCAGTATTACACCTCTTTTTTTAATGAAACGATCCACTAGAAAAAAATCTATAGATTTCAATTTCTCTGTATAAATGTTAATATCAAAGGTGAATTTGTTATTGTTTGTAATTCACGGAATTTATTACGGTAATTTGAGTCCAGTCAGTGGAGGTGCTTTTCGCAATTTAGTACGTTGGGATTTTCAATTTATATTATTATTATTTAAATTATTATGATATTTACTATTTTAACTATACATCATAATACATTTTATATTTTTATTTCACGATTCTCTTATTTTACTATATATTTTTAAAATTTATTATTTATTATTTTATTCATCAAGAATAATTTATTATTATTATTATTATTAAATATAGTAATAATTTTAATAGTGTTAATATACATTTTTTTGGATGAACTTTCACCGTTTTCTACAATTAATTTTTTTAATCCCTCGTTGAAAGATAACATATTAGATGAAAAAAAATGAACGGAATAAGTTTCATAGAATAATGAAAATCTGTTAGTTGCACTAGGGTAATGATAAATTTATTCAAATAAAATTGTAACAGTCGGCTGGAAATACAAAGAAAATATAAAACCAATCTAACATTGAAATGATATTGGGGAAAATATAGTTCTAGCGTAAATGCACTATTACATAATTGTTCTATCTTGGCTGCAGCAGAGAGCGAGAGCTACTCGTACACTTTTGCAACGCGAGGAGCAGATAAAAAAAATTAAGTACTTTTTCAAACTAAGTGGTTTGTGTTGAGATTTTGAAACAAAAAAGTAATGGCGACTTATGGTGAATTTCACTAGTTGTGCGCGGATTTCTATTGGAAATTCCGCAGTTGTGCGGGTCTCTCTTAATGAGACGATTAACTAGAAGAAAATCGACAGGTCGCCATTTCTCTGTAAAAATTATTTTGTTGACGTAGTCTACACTGTTAGAAATTTTCGTTTGAATTTTTCGGGCCGAATTACGGAAATTTCTATCGTCTTCAAGTTCCACTGAAATTTTGGGAAATCTTGTCATTGAAAAATCAAATATTTCATTTATTTTCTGTTCACATGATTTGAAAATCAATAAAATACTTGATTTTTCAATTCAATTATTCTATGAAAATTCTGAAAAATCAGAGAAATTCAGGGAAAAATGGAAAATTTATGGTATTGTGTTTCTGAATATTCATGTTCCACTAAAAATTCAATCGAGTTTTGCCATTTTCATCTCACTTCCACTGAAAACTCATGAATTTCTGTGAATTCTACTCAAAACTTTAAATTTCAAAACATTTCTAACAGTGAACTCTTCAATTCCTTCCATACTTTTCAAGTACATTAAGTTCTCATGCTTTTGCAAGTTAAATAGTTTGCGATAAGATTTTCAAATAAAAAAAAACTCGCCAGAATTATAAATCAAAATTGGCGAACAACAGAAACCCCCAAATTACAATACAATTCTCCCAAATTTTCATATGTGTATCGTAAAACCAGTGATATCAGACGCAAATGTCAACAGAAAAAGCCTTTTAAATTCACTCCATCACCCGAATAATTGAATAATTGATGTAAAATGCGCATTACCCAAGGAAAATTCATCCATCTGAAAAAATAATCTGAAAAACAAGTTCCTCCCAATCATGTAATCTCCATAAAATCCAGAAATTACAGAACTCTTCAATTCCGCGTTGAAATTCTATTTGCTGCCGCGCACTTGTCCCATCTTTTCCTGCAAACGCATAACAATTTTTTTGTTTCCTCGTGTTATTTTTATCTTCCTTCGTTATCCTCCTTTTTTCCTGAGAGAGGCGAAAAAAACTGCTGGGACAAGTATAAGTGTTGTCTCTTTTACTGTGCGAAACGTCCCGTTCCTAGTACCCATCTGACAGCTCTCTACAATCGAGCGGTTGCGAACAATCGCGGTTGACACTCAACATTCAGCTCATTCGTTAACTCTAGACGTACTCCATTGTTTCCGGATAATGACTCCGAGAAATATCGTTGTAATTAGTGCATTTGTAAATGTATTTTCACTTGTTACCCTTTTCTGAATGTACCAACTACACATAACTCTTAATTTTGTTGATTTTATTTCATTCAATTCATTAAAAAAAATACACATGTTGATGTTTTAATTTTTTTTTCACGAGGGATAGAAAATGTTCATGAAAATTCATTGAACCTCGGGTATTAAGAGGCTCTATCGTGTCAAGTAGAAAGTTACTCCGAGTAGTAACAGCATTGGTGTCAGACTGTAGGTAATCATTGAAGACGAATTGCAGCCGTCCATGTCACATGTATCACAGTATGTGACGCCGTCTTTGCCAGTTTTCAATTGATCACACCCTTCAGATGGTTGAGCGCATCCACGCTCCACTACTTCCTTATCATCCTCTGAAAATTGATGGGTGTATGGTTAATATCAGATGTGGATAATTGGGGGAATGCGATGTTTATCGTCACGTCAACGTGAACTAGAACATTTCACAGATTACAATTTAATAGGAAAATATATCGACAGTTCCTAATATAACAAGGGTATTTCAATTTTATTTTTAAAACAAGGGTATGTAGAGAATTATCCGTTCGGTTCTTTCCGGATTTTTTGAAGGAAAATGGTTATCATTTCTGTTCATTAGTGAAGTATCTCGTAGATAAGAAATTTCACAATGACGTGCCAAGGGACCTGATTAAAATCTGTAACTGATCAAAATTTATTTTATAATACTGTTTCAAAAGAATTTATCAACAGCAACAGGTTTTCAATAGAATTTTTAAACAGCAGCAGATTTCACGAAGTCCGGACATTTCCTACAGGGATTCCCCCAACGGAAAAGTTTGTAGGAATTTTTTACACGAGAGTATTTCGTGAAGATTCTGGTGCAAACATGAGAAATTAAACCCTTCGCACACGTGCAATTCCTCCTAACACGACTTATCACAAAATTAATTAATTAAAAATGAATTTAATTCGTTCTGCCTATTGAGGTTTGAGTATCGGAACAAATATTTTCAGAAATTAAATTAAGTGTTTTCTTCTTTGCGGTGAAGTGGCGAGAGATAACGCGTGAGTGAGGTGTTCAATCGGAAAAAAATTCTCGTTTACTACTTGACTAATGACATTGATGGAAGCCATTCTTGAAAGGTTAGGTATTAAGAAGTACCGGTCCGCTCCGCGTGCCTAAAAGTCCAATTTCCGCCACATTATGATGAAAAATATTGTTCGTAACTCGTGAAAAAATGTTTTTTAGCTCGTGGGATTATATCACGAGCCGAAGGCCAGTGATATGAACCTCCCACTCGCCAAAAAACACTTTTTTGCACTCGTTACGAAATATACTATTTTGTCACTGCTGTTACGTTCAGCCCGTATCTAAAAGTGCCTTTTCGTTTACTAGTAAACGAAAAGTCGAAACTTGTAAACGAAAAGACTTTTATCCTGTAACCTCATATTCGCCAGAAAAGTTGCTCACGGCCTAGTGGCGAAATGTACTATTTTGAAACTGCTGCTACGTTCACCTCGTGCCGAAAAGTCTTTTATTTACTTGTAAACGAAAAAGGCACAATTCCGCCACTCGCTGAACGTAACATCACTGTCAAAGAATATTGTTCGACACCTGTAAGATGGGAATATTCAGCTCGTGTCATTGGCAGCCCTCGACTTCGTCTCGGGTAGCTATCAGGGTGGACATTTTCGTTTGAACAAACTCACTTGTATTGAAATTCTCAAAACAAGTCCAGTAGAAATTAGATGGAAATTTTCAGCGAATTTGTTAGTTTTCTCTATGAAATTTTGAAGTGCGTGGATTACCTTCACCGCGCCATTGGCCTTAGCCATTGCATCTGTTCGCAATCAATAGAATGACTAAAATGAAACAGTTAACGTACTCTTGTAAATGATCTTGTAGCAGCTCTGACTTTCCGCCGCCCGCGCTGAAACGACTTGATACCCGAAACGCATTCTTCGTCTGTCGGAAAAGGCAGTGCTTTCTTCGGCAAGATTATCTGATGTAGTTGTTATATCTGGTAAACTTGTAGTGTCGGTGTCTGATGTGTCTGTCGAACTTGGGATAGTCGATTGATCCGATGATGATGTTGAACTTTCGGTGCTTGATATACTTGATGGTAGAGTTGAATCTTCAAGGCTGGTTTCAGCTGACGATGAACTTGTACTCGCGCTAGTTGATCCAGCTGACGATGGAGTTGCACTTGCGCTAGTTGATCCAGCTGACGATGAACTTGTACTTGCGCTAGTTGATCCTGCTGACGATGTAGTTGCACTTGGGTTAGTTGATCCATCTGACGATGAACTTGTACTTACGCTAGTTGATCCTGCTGACGATGTAGTTGCACTTGGGTTAGTTGATCCATCTGACGATGAACTTGTACTTACGCTAGTTGATCCAACTGACGATGAACTTGTGCTTGCGCTAGTTGATCCATCTGACGATGAACTTGTACTTGCGCTAGTTGATCCTGCTGACGATGTAGTTGCACGTGGGTTAGTTGATCCATCTGACGATGAACTTGTACTCGTGCTTGTTAATCCATCTGACGATGTAGTTGGACTTGCACTAGTTATTGCATCTGTCGATGTAGTTGGATCTGCACTAGTTATTGCATCTGTCGATGAAGTTGCGCTTTCGGTAGTTGTTTCAACTGACGATAAAGTTGTACCTTCAGTGGTTGTTACATCTGGTGATGAAGTCGCACTTTCAGAAGTTGATATTGTTGTAATTGTACTTTCAGGCACGTCAGTAACTGGTGGTGCTGGTGTAGTTAATACAGAGCACACATCTGACTTAAAATTGTCTGGTTTCGCCGCACAATCCTCATCAGTCAACGAAGTGCAAACGACACACTGCAACGATTGCCCTAAAATCCAATAAAATCCTCAGAACTGCGTGCACAAAATACATTAGAAAAATATTCTGGTTAAAATAAATACCTAAATGAAACTTGGCGACGAATACAAACGCGAAGACCGCAAAAAAGACTGTCTTACGGGCAAGCATTTCGATTCTGTCTAAACCTTTAAAAAATGAACTGTTTCAACTCGAGACCTGGAACACAATGACTACAACAACTCCCCAATCAATCAGTCTACTCAATAATTGTCTTCGCACTGCCCAGCTTTAAGCATACCCCCGACTATTTCCATCGACTACCACTGGTCATGCGCCACAAAGATAATTTCGATAATATGTTTTTTTCGGTCAACGTAAGCCTCCGGCAATGATCATTACGATCGATAGTAATCGTTATCAGTGATTTTTTTTCATCACTCCATCGAAGATTTCCGTTTGTTGGCCGTATCTCTTGATGGGCTTTATCGCAAATATCATTCCTTTACACTAGATTCGCTGGATTTTGATTCCTATAATCGCGCCATCGTCTGCCCCACTCGTTCCTCTGTACACAATTTTTCGATTACCCCTTCAGACATGAGTCACAGATTGTCATTAACGTGAAGCGCAATTAAGAGGAATGTCAATATTGGATAAGTGATTAATAAGAAAATATTGGGAAATGAACAAATGATTATTTTTATTCAAATACGTCGAAATTTTTAAGTTACCTTTCAACTATTGAGACAGTAGAAGATTTTTGTGTTCTGCAAATTTACACGTGTATTCATACTATTTAAAGCAGACATCGGCACAATTATAAATTTTAATCAGAGTTAAGTTTTAAATGAGTCAATTGTTAATGTTACTCATCAATTTTTTAATTACTAAATTAGTCGTCAATTAAATATTCGAATTTCAGAATATTTTATCAATCAATAATTGGGTGCGGAAACTTGATGATTGACCAATCGAAAATTCTTTTTTGAAATTTAGAAATATTTACTCAGTAGTCAATTGACAATTCCATATTCATTTATTGTAAAGTGCAACTTCTCATAATATTACTAAATTAACAATAATCATGAACCCTGATTTGAAGATTGAACGAAATAACGGAGTCGGAGAAAACAAGTATTTTATTTCAATCAAATGAATACTTTCATTCATAGCGACGACGTCCCACATAACATTTATTCCATAAACAAATAATTTAATTCAATAAGATGTTAATGAAAATGAAATTGAAACGACTGAATCACGCTTCTTGACAGTGCTTTACCCAACAAACGTTTCAAGTTTGAAATGGTATATTTTCATTAGTTTGAGTAGTTTCAATATTTTTTCAGTATTTTTTTCTCATTTAGTATTTTGTCTAGTTCCTCTGTTAATTTCATGTTCCTTCTGATGTCTGCATATTTTGGGCGGTTCCTTACGATACGTTTCACTGTCATGATTCCTCTGCATCATTCCTTTGTTATTAGGAAATTGTGTCCAATTCTCAATCTGGTAATAACGATCTGGTCTCTTCGATCCTTATTTGTTGTAAGGTTCAACCTTTCATAGTATTACTAAATTAATAATTGGTCACAATTCATGATTTGAAGATTGAACGAAATAACGTAGTCGGAGAAAACAAGTATTTTATTTCACTAAAATGAATACATTCACTCATAGCGACGACGTCCCACATAACATTTATTCCATCAACAAATAATTCAATTCACTAAGATGTTAATGAAAATGAAATTGAAATCACTGAATCACGCTTCTTGACAGTCCTTTACCCAACAAACGTTTCAAGTTTGAAATGGTATATTTTCATTAGTTTGAGTAGTTTCAATATTTTTTCAGTATTTTTTCTCATTTAGTATTTTGTCTAGTTCCTCTGTTAATTTCATGTTCCTTCTGATGTCTGCACATTTTGGGCGGTTCGTTACGATACATTTCACTGTCATAATTCCTCTGCATCATTCCTTTGTTATTAGGAAATTGTGTCCAATTCTCAATCTGGTAATAACGATCTGGTCTCTTCGATCCTTATTTGTTGTAAGGTTCAACCTCTCATAGTATTACTAAATTAATAATTGGTCACAATTCATGATTTGAAGATTGAACGAAATAACGTAGTCGGAGAAAACAAGTATTTTATTTCACTAAAATGAATACATTCACTCATAGCGACGACGTCCCACATAACATTTATTCCATCAACAAATAATTCAATTCACTAAGATGTTAATGAAAATGAAATTGAAATCACTGAATCACGCTTCTTGACAGTGCTTTACCCAACAAACGTTTCAAGTTTGAAATGGTATATTTTCATTAGTTTGAGTAGTTTCAATATTTTTTCAGTATTTTTTCTCATTTAGTATTTTGTCTAGTTCCTCTGTTAATTTCATGTTCCTTCTGATGTCTGCACATTTTGGGCGGTTCGTTACGATACATTTCACTGTCATAATTCCTCTGCATCATTCCTTTGTTATTAGGAAATTGTGTCCAATTCTCAATCTGGTAATAACGATCTGGTCTCTTCGATCCTTATTTGTTGTAAGGTTCAAGCTCTCATAATATTACTAAATTAATAATTGGTTACAATTCATGATTTGAAGATTGAACGAAATAACGTAGTCGGAGAAAACAAGTATTTTATTTCACTAAAATGAATACATTCACTCATAGCGACGACGTCCCACATAACATTTATTCCATCAACAAATAATTCAATTCACTAAGATGTTAATGAAAATGAAATTGAAATCACTGAATCACGCTTCTTGACAGTGCTTCACCCAACAAACGTTTCAAGTTTGAAATTTTGATAACAAAATTTTTAGATACAAACTTTTACAACATCCAATTTTCACTGATCCAAGTAAATAAGATAAGATTATCCGCCATTTCCGGATAATAATTGTAACAAAGATGCAACGAAGAAGCAAGAAATGGAAAACCCAACGGTTTTTGTTTCCTGTTGGCCTCGTAGTGCCTAATAACACTATTTCATTAATCTCTGCATTATATTATTTTTCGAGTCGAGGTAAGGAGGACATGGCAATGCCGTGGGATTTTTTGTCCCGTTGTACAGTGTGTGCAATAAACCATGGGCTCACGTAGTTTTTTCCTATTCAGTGAAAACCCATGAGGCATTCACACAGTGACACCGAAAATTGTTGAATTGTCCTATCCTCGTAATTTCCACACAAATGAAATAGTATCTACGATGTGTACGTGTACACATATTTCCCTGGACTTCCGCTGGTATTTTTTCTGGTTTGTATGAGTGTCGAGTAGTCTGGGGGTCTCTCAACTGGCTCGTGAGCGTCTGCCTCGTGGAATGCGGTTGTACCACTCACAATGTTCCTCTCCTCTCCACAATTCTCGTATTTTCTCCCTCTATCCTTCAGTACTCCTCCAGGTGATATTGTATACGTGTTTAAATACAAAAATTACTACGTGTTAGCTAAGAGAAAGAAAAGGGAAATAATTTTCTTTTTAATTTTATTACCAGTAGGCTGGCAATAATTTTCTCTCTCATTTACAATTAATTATTTTTATTACGGTTAGTCTGGTATTTATTGGGAATGTAAATGTCACTCGTTTACTCGGGCATAAACGAGTGCCTTACGGGAGACTAATTGTGCCATTGGAGGCTTAATGGCCGGTGCCATTAAGTCTACTATTATTTGAACACATTAAGGAGATGGGGTGAGTGAGGAATTCCGATGAATCGAGGTGCTTGGGGATTATATGGTGAATTTTGACCGGGGTCATGGTAGGAGGCTGCTTCGAACTGGGCGTTTGTACTCGTCGTCTATGTCGTGAAGATCGGGAGGGTCCGCGTAGCCACTGTCGTCGTATCTCGTGCAGCGAGAGCCCGGGGAACGAGGCGGGTGGACCGAGTGGACTGGATGAATGCTGAAACACATTTTTTAGTCATGCGTTATTTGTTTATTATTCATTTATTTATTTTGCGTATTTTGTTATTTATTTATAGGGTCAAATCATATTTATGTAATGGCATTTTGTAGCACACCTGCCTGTAAACCGGCAATTTACACAGGTGGAACGGGTTTACAGACGCTGTGCGACAAAATAGTATGTTGTGTTCCTAGTTCGTAAAACGAAACTTTACGCACGGGAATTCACTTTACGCATGTCGTGCGGAAAACAACCACTTTATCCACACTAAACCATTTCGGAAAGAACACTTTTCAGGCAGGTATCACGAAATAGTATATTTCGATACGAGTGTGTAATAGTATATTGTGCTTCTAGGGAGTAAAAGTATTTTCTGACGAATGGGACGTTATAATCACATGAGTCAGAAAATACTTTTATTGCCGTGTGGCACACGATATTTTCTGTCCCTAGAGGCATAAAAGTGTTTTACATCACTTGTGCGGAAAAGTGTTTTCATCACGCTGTGCGAAAAAGTAACTTTTACGTCACATTGTGATGAAAAATATAGTTCGATACTCATGGGAAGTGTTTTTTGACTCGTAGGATTATATCGCGCGCCTTCGGTTCGTAATATAAACCTCCCACGAGCCAAAAAACACTTTTCCGCACTCGTATCGAAATATACTATTTCCATCACTCGTGCGTAAATTGAAATTTTACGCACATTCTGATGAAAAATAGGATTCGACACTCGTGGGAAAAGTGTTCCTTGACTCTTGGGAGACGTGAGATACCTCCCACAGGTCGGAAAACACTCTTTTAACACTGCTGCTACGTTCACCTCGTGCTGAAATGTGCCTTTTCGCGTACTTGTAAGCGAAAAATATTTTCGTTTATTTGTGAGGGAAAATACTGGCAAAAAATATTGTTGGACACACTTTTAGAAATTTCGTCCCACTCGTATCGAAATGTACTATTTTGTCATTCCGGCCGTAGGCTGGGATTTATAGACACGCAGCCAAAAAATACGGTTTATCACATGGACGAAAATAGTATATTTTGTGTCGAGGGCCACTGGGGTTTCCGGCTCATGTGAGCTTAGTGCGCCGAGCCGAAGACGAGGTGTGCCAATCACACGAGCCAAAAACCCCAGTGGCACTAGACGCGAACGATATTTTTCCGTAGTGATTTTCATTTTTACCAGTTTGCGGAAGAGTCAATATCAATCCCGGGAGTGGGAAAAGTGAGAAGCAATACGGAAAAATTTTTTTTGACGCTGCTGCTATAATGGAATTGTAAAATGCATATAAATGCATGTGAAATGCATGAAATAATGAAGAAAATGGAATGTAACACAATGGGAAAAATACTGAAGGTCTAGGGAGAGTTGTATTTCATTATAAATTTTCTTCTGAATTTTTTCATTGCGCCGATATGTTTTTTTTTCATCAAATGAAATTAATCGTTGAAATCCACAAATATTGACTTTTTTCGAATGTTTTTTTTTCTGCAATACTATTCGAATGCCCTGAGCCTTGAATACACCTTATAGCTGGTATTGATTGATTTTGGGAAAATCAAATGAAACGAGAGAAGTTTATCGGGTTGTTTTCGGTTATTGATGTGAAATACATCTGTTGTATCGATATCTAATCTGCGGGTCACCTTCGAAATTCAATGATAAAAAAAGTATGTGGCATTGAAACGGTATTACTGAAACGATTAAAGTTTGGACGTTAAATGTCGACTAAAGTTTAGCGCAAATATCGAAGTTGTTAATACAAAATTTTCATGAATTGGAAGAAGTTCTCTAGTTTTTTCATTAGATGCTCCAAGTCATTTTCACTTTTTCATCGGAAAAAATAGCATTTTTCTATAAGGGTAAGTGCTATATTTTGAAAATTCGACTGGATTGTGGGTTGCTCACTGCGCTCACTCCCATTCCGAGTCTTGGGAAGCAAGTGTGACCCTAGTAATTCTTAAACATCCCTTTTTGGAATTTACACCGTTGCGCCTCCAGACCATCTCCAAATAATTTTAAAAAATCTAAAAATTTCAACCCTCTACTTTAACCCGAAGTCGCCCCCCAAAGGCCCACTTTTTCCTATTTAAATAACTACGAAAGAAAAATTTTCAATTTTGGATATTTATTGAATATTCATTACTATCTCATGAAATTTTTTATTTTTTATTTTTCTCAGATACATTAATTTTACTTTTCATCGCAACGATTCCCGACCAATTCCCTTTTTTCTGTTTATTAACCCTAATCTGGTCACCAAACGCGACCCTGCGACTTGGTTACCTCCGCGGGGATTCCCCGCCGTGTTATTTAGGCTTTAGCGTTGTCGAATTCACTATACACTGCCCGAGCGATTTTAGCGAGTTTCCGGCAACGTCGCGTTGTGGGCAATTTCATTTAACATGGGAAAAAATAATTCATCTGTCCGAAATAATTTATTTTCTTTAGAAATTTTGGAAAATATGTTTTTCTAAAAAGTACTCTACTTTTTTAAACCCTTCAATTGATAAAGACAATTTTTTTTTTATTTTTCCGGTTAGCCAGTCAATTGTAATTAAAGAAAAGGCGCAGTTTACCTCATAGGGTAACCAATCTAGGATTAAAAAAACACGGATTCTGCATGGATAATTTTCAACTTCCCGACCCAACCGGATTTTTAACTTCGCGACGGGTCGAAACAGAAATTACATTAAAGAAGGGAATTTATAGAGCGTTCCACATCTTTGTGACGTCATAGGAAATTATTGGATGGGATTTGGATGAGGTAGGAGAGGAACCGGGATTATTCTCAATATGAATAACCAGAAACTTTTTACTGAAAAAATGGATAGTCCAGACCGGGATTTGAACCCGGGGCCTTCAGATTATGCATCGGGTGCTCTCCCAACTGAGCTGATAATTTGCATAATTTTCTGGACAATTTTACGATGCAAATAGTCGAAAGTATTTCTACGATTGATTTCCATAAGTTCTTCTTTCCAACTGTAAATTATGCGTATCAGTCCAACGAAATATCCAGAGCCTTCAATGAAATCGGTTGCGATGAAAAATTCTATCTCCATTGTTACATTCGTGACCTTTAGTACATTCTATTTCGAGGTGATGATGACGAACAATACTCCGCTGGCTAGGAAACCTTCCATTTTTTATCAATAAGATATCACGCACACAGACGAGATCAAAATCAACCGAACCAATCACTTCAAATTTAGGTCGTTCTTGGCAAAAATATATCTGTTATGATAATCGATTTATCAATGGGTTCAAACCATACTGAGAAAACCAAAGTTATCCCGAAAAAAGGCTATTTGCAATATGTATCATTGACGTCTATAACTTTCATAAATTTTCCCGACACGATTTATGAACTTCAATGTCATCTCTTCATTTATTACTTATCTATTCATTTGCGCCTTTATTGATCAATTTTAATGTTCGATAGTTTCGATAAACTGATATATTTGATGAATACTAGATTAATCCGGTAGTAACGTGGTAATTAAAAAACGTCACGAGTCGACTGAATTGGTAATTGAATTTCTGAGAAACATCTCCGAATTTAAGAGAGATAGCAACATTTTTTGAAGATTTTTTCATTCCAGCGGAAACTGATAGTGAAAAATAAATCACTATCTGCCGGGGATTCCCGGATATTCCTGGAAACCTTAACTACAGTTGCGTCTGCAATACGATCGAAAATATCCGTACATAATATAACGAAAAATGCTCGAATAGGTTATCCTGACACGAAAAATTGGAAATTTTTGATTTGATGAATACGAAGTTTCCATTCGGAGGCAAAAGGGGAAAAAGGAAGAAGAAAACCACTGGAAAATATTGAAAAAAAAGAGATGATAAGATGAATGCTCACCTCGTACACCTCGACGGACTAGTCTCCAGTGGCTCATCGTACCTCCTCGACAACATTGTGAAATCCCTGTGTGCAGCCACCAACTTTTGTAAACGCGATATTATCTCGTAGTCGGGTGTGCAGATGGGTTCGTTGAGTATTTTGGCAACAGAGACACGGAAACTCTGTAGCTGTGACTCTCTCCTCGTTACCTCCCCCAAATTCTGCTTGACCTGAGCCAACTCGTCCCTCAACAGTTGAAGCGAGTGATCATTTATCGATCTCTCCTGATCAGCGCTCTCCGTTGTCGTACGCATTTGATCCTTGAGGAGACCGAACTTTCTAGTGTATCGTGTTCTCAACATTTCACTCTCTACCAGACGCTTCTGTAGTTCCTCAATTTTTCTGCTACGCTCCAATGCTGCGATCTAAAAAATTCATTTGCTTTTTTCAGAAGTTGTTGAGGAAACTAAGAATTTTAATTGCACTCAAGCATGACTGATTGAACAGTAGTTGAAAATTTTTAATGAGAAAAATTTCATATGAAATTATTTTAATTTATGAAGTATTGCAAATGAAAGAGCATTGGTACTTAAGGATATCCAATTATTTTTTACAGTTTGGTACAGACCACACTGACAAATTTATCAATTAAATTGATAAATAATGAAATTAATAAACAATTGAAACTGTTTAAACTTTTGAAAATCTCATTTTTTTAGGCATGAAATCGATTTCTGGTAACATTCTGAATATGAATACATTTATTACGATTCGGAACAAATGATTTTTATGGTGGAAAATTGATTGTTCATAAATTATTTATAGAAAATGCTCGAAATTTTCAAAATTTGCAATTTGTAATTTAATTCATCAATCTTCCTGCAAGAGTAAACTTTCTAATTCTTTTTTCACGCTTAGATGCTCGACTACAAAAGTAAAAAAACATTGCGCTGGAGAAGAAATAGCCAAAGTACTTGAATATTCTTAACCCTAATTGGTCAAACGCGTCCCTGCGACTCTGGTCACCTCCGCGGGGATTCCCCGCTGTGTTACTTAGGCTTTAGCGTTGCCGAATTCACTCTACAGTACCCGGGCGCGTTTAGCGAGATTCCGACAACGTCGCATCGTGATTTCAGTTAATTTCAGTTAACATAGGAAAAATAATTCATCTGTTCGAAATAATTTGTTTTCTGTAGGAATTTTGGGAAATATATTGTTCCAAAAACGACTATAATTTTTTAGACACTTTAGTTCAGTAGTGAAGTGGTAAACGGAGATAAGTCGACTTATCTCCCAGTTGAGTTTTTGAGGAATATTTCCGAATCCAAGGGAGATAGCGAAATTTTTGTAATTACATTTGTTGTAGCACTCAATCGGCTCCACAAAAGAGGTTATATCAAAAATTTTGCCATCTTCCTTAGATGTCAAGATATTGATTGAAAACTGGTCAATAGTCAAAATTGACTTATCTCCTTTTACCACTTCGCTACTGAATTGTTAAGATCAAATTTTCTTGAATTTTTACGGTCAGCCAGTCAAGTGTAATTAAAGAAAAACGATATGCGGCGGTGTTTCGAAAAAGAAATTTACAGAAAAATTGAAATTCCATTGAATTTGTATTAAAAAATTGCGCATTTTTTCTGTGCGTTTTTTTTCAATAGAAATGATGAATAGGAAATATTTCATTGAAAAAACGAGTAGAAAAACTCGGAAAATCTTCAATAGAATCGGCGAAAAACTGATAGAGGTTTCAATAAAAAGTTAATGGAAAGCCAATAGAATTTCCAATAGAATTTCCGAGTTTGGTAGATTTCTCAATAAAATTTTTCCATTTGTGTATAATATTATGTAGAAAAATCTACTTGGAATAGTCGAGGAAAATATCCTAAGATGATCGTATTTCATAACTTTGAAATAAATAGAGAAATTTGATGTGAACATTCAAATGTGATATGAGTCCTGTTTGCCCTTTTCGTTATGAAAAATAAATTTGCCCATTTAATTTCATTGAAATAATACACTGGTGGAATAAAGTAGTAAATACTATTTAAATTAAAAAATGAAATACAGTTGAAAAACAATTTTTACAATTAATAATTGGATGAGATCATTATCATAAAATTACTATCATATCCTAGAATTATGTGTTCATTAACCTTGTAATCAGCCGCCTCGGTCAGTTGAGTACTGAGCTCTCGATTTCGCGACTTTTCTTCTGCCAATTGGATCTGCAAACGCTCCACTTGTTTTGCCGCTTTCTTGGCCCTGAAATAGTAATGATATTGTAAATATCATTTAATAACATGGCCAATTACGTCGAGATAAATTTACCGGAGATTGGCTTCATCCCTTTCGGCCTGCAGGATGGATTTTATTCTCACGCCGTCTTCCTGCAACGAGAGTTTTCTACGGAGCAGATCCAGGTGCAAGTCTCGACGCTGCAATTGCTCACGGAGTGTCCTCACGCGACGCTGGAGTTGATACACCACGGATGTCTGCAACATTCAGGGCAATTTAATATTCCAAGAATATTCCGATTCGTTTTACTGGTGGTGACGGAATTGGGAGGGGCACTGCAGATTTTTAATCATTGGATTGTCAATTTAAGGGGAGCCCACAGTGTTAAAAATTTTCGTCTGAATTTTCCGGGCCAAATTGCGGAGATTTTTATCGTGTTCATGCTCTACTAAAATTCATGGAAATCTTGTTATCTAAAAATCAAATATTCCATTGATTTTCTGTTCAAATGATCTGGAAATCAATAAAATACTTTATTTTTCAGTTCAATTATTATGTGAAAATTCAGAAAAATAAGAAAAATTCTAGGACAAAGGAAAATTCATGAATTTGTTGGCAATTGGGACATTAATTATTTATCAATCTCATGGCACTTCGATAATGTGAAAATAGTTACTATTTAAGTGGAGAAGAATGAATTGAGTAGAGCGGGGTATAAGAAATCTATTATTTACGTGATTATTTCGAAAATGGAGAATTGAAAACAGAAACATTTGAAATTACGTGTTTCCTATAATGTATATGAGAGCAGTGAACTATTCCGATGGAAATATCTACATATAGAATTTTAATACGATTTATTCTACTGAGATATTTTCCATTGCAATTTTCTGGAATAAGGCCCGGGTGCACCAGCTCCGGGTAACGAAAACGTCAGATAAGAAAAAAGTAAATTTGGATGTTCGATGAATTATTTAATCCCAATTTAATTATTTAAATATTTTAATATTTAAAGAATATTAATTATTCTTAAGAAGATAAGAAGATTTAATTATTTTCGTCATGAGCTCGAAAACAACTTTTCGGACTCGTGTGATTGTATTCTTCGCCTTCGTCAGTTTTTAAGCCATGACTAATTCCATTTTGATGACAATTGTTGAGTCATCGTTGAAGAATCGTTTTTTGAAAAAATATAAATTATCTCGAATCTATATGAAAAATCGAATTGTAATTTGTGTCACCGAATAGGGCTTATTAAAGTCTATATTCACGGAAAAATTCCTGAAATTCGATTGATCTCTTTCAAGAAAATTTTTAAAAAATGAAGAAAAAAGATCACATGCATGGAGAGACCATTTAAAAATTGCATATTCGAACTTTTTAGACCATATTTAGTTACCCTAAAACAAAAAATTGGGAACTTCAATTTCTGCGATTACAAAGTTGCCATTCAGAAACAAAAATGACAAACGGGCATAAATTAACGTTTGAAGATTCATTTTCCGATTTTCACTGTGAAGTTAAGGTGAAGGAAAAAAATTAAAATGATTTTTTGTTAATTAAGAAAATTTTTGATACAGAAACTATATTTTCCTTTTGTTTAGACATTTTTGAACATCTCAAAACGGTTCAAGTCGACTCATCTCCCAGTTGAGTTTTTCAGGAATATTTCCGAATCTAAGGGAGATAGCGAAATTTTCGTAATAAAGCTTATTATAGCTTTCAATAGGCTCTACAAAAAAGGTTACAACAAAAATTTTGCCATCTTCCTTAGATTCCGAGATATTTATTGAAGACTGGTCAATAGTCAAAATTGACTTGCACCATTTTACCACTTCGCTACTGATGTTAAATTTGATCGAAGGATTTAGAGCCAAACTTGTTCAATTTCGCCTCTTAATCATTTTCAATTATTATTTGAACCACGGGATCTCAACTAGTCAAGAAATCTTTTTTATGTACAAGTATTCGAATGAAACCAAAAATTTAACGAAAATTTAGAGACCGGATTTGCGTACGATATCTGATGGAATGAATCATGATTCGATTTATTTCGCATTTTGTGGGTGATCTAATCATTCTGATCATTATTATTCAATGACATTACTACTGTACGTGATTTTTCCAAATGGCATTAACTAGCACATGGCTGAGATTTTCCATTTTTAAAACATTAATTTGCTTAATCAGTCATTTGGGAAATTATCAATCCCCAATGACGAAAAAGAGTATTAACAATCTCGTCGGTGGGTTGAATGGACGAATTATTAACAAAATATTATTTACCCGCATTAAACACGCGGAAAGCTGCTGGTGGCATTGACTGTGACATTAACGGTAATGGATATCGAATGGTGTTACGTTTGTTGGCTGCTAAAAACACTCATAAGAAAAATTCTAAGTGCACGTAAGAAAAAATTCAATCAAAAAACCTAGCAAATTTGCTAGACATTTCTATTGAATTTCTATGGAATTTTCCGTTAGTTTTTGGCCGATTCCATACAACTTATTCTATTGAGATATTTTCTATAGAACTTCCTCGGCTCCAATTTTCCATGTTTTTTAATTCTATTTTTCGTTTCTTTTCATCAAGAAAATCAAACAAAAAAATAGAAATTTTGTGTAACTAAGTGGTTAAAGTAATTCTAAAAAATTTGAAATTTTGGTAGGTCTTAATGAAGACTAAGACTAAAGTTATTCATTGTTAAATTCCTTTCCGCAAAAAAATCTTCAAAACTAGTGGACTGATTTCGATTTTTTGTTTTCCAAATACTCGTCTCGATGTTTTCTATCTAAATCAATCAAAATATACACCCGTTCATACAAAGTTTTCGAGAAATTCCTGTTTTCCCTTTTTTTCATAAAAAATTTTGTAATCACTCTAGCTTGTGCAAAAATCGAGGTACCCCAGTATGAAAACATCGTATAGAAATTTTCTATACGAATTGCGTATAGAAATTCTATAGGATTTCCGTATATGATATTCGGACATTTCTATACGAGTATTTTCTATACCTAAATTTTTACATGAATTTTTGGATTCATACGAAAGGTGTCTAAACATTTCAGAGAAAAACGTAGAGAAATGTCGCAACTCCATACGAAATGTTTCTACACATGTGGCAGTGGGTCGTAGAGAATCGAACCTATAGAAGTCGTATAGAAATATTTTGTATAAAAAATATCCGTATAGAAATATCCGAATATCATATAGGAAAATCCTACAGAAATTCTATACGATTTTTTCATACGTGCCTCTTGTTTTTTGTCTATTTTTCGTTTCTTTTCATAAAAAACATTAAACAGAAAACTTAGAAAATTTGAGCCGAGGGAATTGTATAGAAACTATCTCAATCGAATAAGTTGTATAGAATATTTCACTAGAACTGATAGAAAGTTCAATAGAAATCCAACAGAATTGTCCACCGAATTCGCTAGCTTTTTCTATTATTTTTTTTTGTGCGTGTGATTTCAAAGATTCTCCTGTCTACACGCTTACTTCTTTGAGACAAGGAAGCTCGAACGACCGCTCCCGTCGAATCCTGGGAAATGTCGTGTAGTTGTAGACTAGCTGTAGAAAGCCACACAAACAAAAAACAATAACAAGACAAAGAAAGACAGACAATGAAAGACGACAGTTATGAAAGCGATACATATGAAAACCACCGAAATATTTCACTCATCACTGCAATGGTTTTTTTTGTGTCATTATCTTTCACCTTGTCAACGAGTTTGTCGGTCTCTAAGCGGGCCAATTGCTCGGCACGTACGAGTAATGCCTCGGTCTGTAAGTCAAGGCCGATCTCCTGGGAAATTTCGTCCATCTGCATGGCCTTGCCCAGACGCTCTAGGAATATTTGAAACTGAAAAAAAAAATATGTTGACTTGTTGACTTCAGTGAAAAAATCCATTGTGTTTCTCAATTCTCATTTGTCCCCTCATTTCGTCGTTTCGTCTTTTTTTCGATTATTAGGCAATTGTGGAGGGGAGAATAAAAGGAAAAGTTTAAACTAATCTTTTTTTTATGAAAACTTTTTAGTATTTGGGAAATGTGAGAAAAAATCAACAGAATTTTCCTAGCGAATGCGCTAGGTTGCCTTTAATTTTTAATTTGTTTGTAATTTATTTGTTTCGGGCATTTCTTGGAATGAAAAATGTCTTCTGATATTTCTACAATGAATATAATTCGTGAAATTGAATAGAAATGTTCTCAAACATATTGATTCCCTCTTGAACTCCTCAGGATTGAATATTTGAAGAAGTGATGTAAATCGTTACGAATAGTGCCTAAAGAATTATTTTGTAAACACATTTGTATTTTTGTAATTTTTTTTATAGCAGAATAAACCACATAGTTTGAATGATTAAATAAAAAATATATGTATATAATTCGTCGAAATGTATCCCCTTCCATAATTCTCATTGTAATTATTCTCTTACGCTCTGTTTGTCCCTCCGCAGTGACTCTTTGGTGAGCTCACAACTGGTGAGTTCAGACTCCAATTTGTGAATTTTTGCCTCCAGAACGGCACGATCCTCCTCGAGGTTTCTCATCTTTATCAGACTCGACTCGACCAATTCTGTTTGACGACCTGCTGATTCCGTTGTTGCATTCACTTTATCTTTGAGACTTTGAATTCTCTGTAATCATTGTCAATACGAAATAATGTATCGGCAATAATTGAAAATCGTAAAAAGACGAGTTGAAGAATATTGAACTATCAATGAAAATTCTCTGCAGGAAAGGGGAAAAATTGTTGCGCAAGTGGAGGCAATCGAGATAAGATAGACATTCTACGAAAGGAGATATTCTTTTTGGAATCGGAATGGACTGAATTATATCATCAAAATTCCCAGTAAATCAGGTATCAAGGTAAAAAGAATTCGCATCAGTGCTGAAGAATTGGCCAAATGTTCTTTCTCTCCTTTTTTTGTATTCGAGGTATTGACTAACACTACATCTTCAAACCAAATTGACTTATCTCGTTTTGCTGATTTCATCAAATTTTTACGATAAGTAATTCACTAGCGAAGTGGTAAAACAATTTAAGTCGACTTATCTCCCAGTTGAGTTTTTGAGGAATATTTCTGAATCTAAGGGAGATAGCGAAATTTTGGTAATGACATTTATTGTAGCTCTCAGTCGGGTCTACAAAAAACCTTCTATTAAAAATTTTGCTATGTCCTTAGATTCCGAGATATTCATTGAAAACAGGTCAATACGCTACTGAACTCAAATCCAATTGCGAGAAATTGAAGCGAAATGATTTATTCCGCGTGCCTGTCTTTACACATTCAATAATAGAATATCAATTCTTCTTCTTCTGTTCGTTTTGGTTATATCCTTTAACTGTAGTAGAGGCAAGCACCATTGTAAAATATCAATTAACAGTATCAATCATTTCATCTGCAAATAAAATTTAATTATCTTGCTGCAGCACTCAACTCCTGATACGTAATCGGTTTGTCATTCAAACATGATTACAACTAATGAGAAAAATCTTTTGAGTAAAGAATCGTCAAGTGGACTTTTCCGACTCAATGGCTAGAACTGGAAATACTTCAGGATTTATTATCAGTATGGGGATAAATCAGTACTGAAATGGTTAAATGAGCCAGCAAAATTTTCCTGAAGACTTCATTTACCGATAGGACCGAGAACTCGTGTATGAGAAAACTCGATAGAAAAATCTAGTACTTTCCCTAATGAGAAAACCGCTCTGACTGTTTCTCATCAATTTCGTTGAGTTCGAAATATGTTATTCATTATAAAAATTTAGTAGGATAAGCTACCCAGTAGATGGACGCTGCCCTATAGATGGACGAGCTACATTTGGATAGGAAATTACACAAAAAAATGCTGAAATGTGAATTATTGCTTTGAATTTTCACTAACTGTTGTAATTCTTGTAATTCTCCATAATTCTCTTGTAATTCAACTCTTCTGAACATGACTAATGACATTCTTCATTACTAACATCAGGAATCATTTTCGCACGGAGGAAATTTTGATATGTCGCTGATAATTAATCGATATAAATTTATCTTTGTTTCGAAAAAGGTAAAGACGCGCAATCAATCCTTCGCTTACTTGTTCAATAGCAATTCATGCATGTTGCAAGGAAGATATTTGCAAAAAATCGTTATTTCTTTCAGAATCATCTTGAATTTTTTACACTTGGCATTCACGGAGAAAAAATTCAACAAAAATTATCGGAAAATAACGTAAAAGTTACGTTTCGAAACGTAATCCGCGAGCGAAGTAAAATTCAATAAAAATTGTGAGTTGGAACTGAAATTGTACGAATCGCCACGGAAATTCTACGACTTGTTCTGTAAAAATTAACCAGCCGTCTAATGACTCACCGCTGTGCGGACAAAAAGTCGTTCCGTAATTTTTCCCCAACGATTGAGAAATTTTACGGAACGGAACGTAGAAATAACTCACCAGCTTCATAAAAATTGTTGAACGTTCAAGAATTTTTGATTTTGGAGGCATAATAAGTCGGCAAGTTTCTGTAAGATTTTACTTCTTCGGGAAAAATTACGTGACAATGTCGTATTTTGTTCGGTGATGAACCTGAAAATTCACTGAACGTTTCAGATTTCTCCTCTTCCATTTCTATAAGAATTGCCGGAAAACGATTCCCCATTGCGGATTACGTGAATTGTTCCGTAATTTGTACTGAATATTTCTCTCCGCATTTTTATTGCCGCCAACAAGTTCCCAGATTCGCAAAAATCTCATTTCAACATTAACCAACAACTGTAATAATGATAATAATAATAATATCTCACCAGCGCCTGATCCTTGGCGTCAGCCAAAATCTCCCGTATCCTGTCCTTGACGGCATTCTCATGGGACTCAACGAAACGACTCGGTGTGCTCAAAAGAATCGCCAGGGACTCGAGAAAATGACGCATTTCATTCTGTGCCCTCTGTGCCTTTTCCTCACGATTTTTCAAGTCATCTGCATTATTCCTATTGTATTACAACTCGTTGCTAACAATAACAATAACCACCCATGCAATTACGATTATACATACATGATATACGTACCTCGTAGCTGACAAATAATAGCTTCCTGGTTGGTAACATTTCCTGTGGCACTGGTGAGACTTCTGTTAGCATTCACCAATTTGTCCCTGAGCTCGTTATTTTCTCTCTCCGCTACTCTGTACTGCATCTCCAGACACTCCTTGTCCTAGAATAATCGATGAATGTCATTCGTTAAAATTCTCAAATCGAGTGGAAGATGATTTTCATTGAATTTCAGATGAAGTAAATTGAATTGAGGGGAGACCGCGGTGAAATTCAAGTCTTCGCTCGGTCTTAAGAGACATTACACGACTTTTGGGATATGGAGGGATATATTACAAAGTAAGAAAAATTTTGGACCCCACCCGTTTTGCCCCGTACATCCACCAAAAATGTAGTTTTTCACGTTTTTGGCTTAAAAATGCTCCTGACACCACAGTTTTCCTCCGATTTTAACGTTTTTTTTTTTCAAAGTGTTCGTTATACTTCAGCGAACAAATTCAGGTATCAGTTTTTACTTTATATGTATTAGGGCCCGTCATTTTACGGACCGCTTCCGTTACCCCTTAAGTAAATAATTCCAATGTCTTAAACGGGGACTTCTGATTACCCAAATAATCGTCAACTTTTCTACCTAAATTATTGATTAACTAGGGGGCTTTGCCCCTTGCTCGCTCCGCTCGCCAACCCGGGGGGGCTTTGCCCCCTGCTCGCTCCGCTCGCCAACCCGGGGGGGCTTTGCCCCTCCCCCCTCCTGCTCGCTTCGCTCGCTCCCCCCCCCCGACCGTGTGACCGCAGCGGTGTGACCGTACCCATAAACATCTCCCATATGAGCACCCCCTAATATAGTAATCCTCCATAAATATCGATATCCCCTTTATGACCACCCCCTCATATAGACATCCCTTATAAATACAGACATCCACACGGAGAGAAATATTCAATAAAAATTACCAGAAAAAAGACGTAAAAATTACGTTTCGAAACGTAATCTGGGAGCGAAGTAAAATTCAATAAAAAGTGTCAATCGTCACGTAAATTCTACGATCTGTTCCGTAAAAATTACTCGTCCGTCCGACGCCTCACGGCTAGCCATGAGTCACCGTGAGGGGGAAATTTTAACAACACGTTCTGTAATTTTTCCGGAACTTTTCGTAAAAATTCTTAAACAAGAATTTTCATGTTCTGAGGCATAATAAGTCTTGAAGTTTCTGTTAGATTTTACAACTTCCAGAAAAATTACGTGACTTTTTCGTATTTTTTCGGTCACAGACCCGAAAATTTTGCTGAACGTTTCAGATTTATTCTCTTATATTCTTATAGAAATTCACTGAAAACGATTCTCGCTTGCGGATTACGTGAAATGTTCCGTAATTTTTCTTGAATATTTCTCTCCGTGCAGCGTCCCCTGAATTTTTCGCCGTATTTTTTTATTTATATATATAGAGAGATAAAATACTTAAACATTTGAATATTTAAATAGACGATGCTTAAAGAATTAAAAAATTTAAGGGTGATGTTAACTAATTGACGACTTTAATATTTAGCCGTGATTATAAATTATGGAATTGGCTATCCCTGATGTACACATGACTGTGCAACTTCCGTTGAGTTTTTTGTGACATGAGATTTTTCCGAGATTACTCAACCCCAAAAATTCGGTAACAACTAAGATGTCGACACATTAAAAATAGCTTAAAATGTCATCATTGTTTGAGATTTATGAGGCATGCTTCACTTTCACCTGGCGAAGACGATCTAGTTCGGTGTTGAGCGTAGATATCTGTCGCTGCATTTGATCTCTGTCGATATTGGCTCTATCTAGGGCATCGCGGAGGCTCTTTCCTTCCACTTCAACTGTTGTCAAGTGGCTTTCCACGGTCGTTGTCTTCGTACGCAGCCTATTGACCTCTTGAACCAACTCCTCAGCCTTGTGAATCACCAGTTCCGGACTGTGATGAGTGCTGTCACAAAATTCACTGTTCAGTGCGTGCGCCAAGCGGCGAACAAAATCGTGGAGATTCAAACGCGCACGTTCTTTCATCTCGATCTCCTCCGACATGTGATGCTCCAATTGACAATTTTTTTTCTCATACTCTCGATGTTTTTCCTCGTGATATTTCAGATCTCGTTGGAGACTCTGCAGAGTTATCTCGCTTCTGCCTTGGGTGGCGTAGAGATTCCTCTCACGTTCCTCTAGATCCTGAGAAAAAATAATAATGAGTTTCAACAAAATATAGCATTCCTGTTTGGAAATTTTGTTGAAAGTTCAATTATCTTGATTATGAGGGATTGTAGGGGAAAATGTCAGGACACTACGGATGAAAAAAATTGACGGAAAAACCTAGCACTTTCTCCGAGAAATTCTATTGAACATCGAGAAATCTCAACTTGTCATTGTTTGATTGATATTTTAATAGGAAACATCAATGGATTTCCAGTTTTTATGGAAATTTTCTTCGTTGTATTATTGTTTATTTTTATAATAAAATGTGAGAGAAGAAACTTAGTAAATTCGTGCCGCCACGGTTATAGAAAAAAATCGTAATAGTATCTTCCACATGGAGAGAAATATTCAGAAACAAAATGATATGAATTTTCAATTTTCCCCGAATTTTCCTGATTATTCTGAATTTTCACAGAATAATTGAACTAAAAAATCAAGTATTTTATTGATTGCCAGATCATTTGACCAGAAAATCAATGGACTATTTGGTTTTTCAATTACAAAATTTCCTGAAATTTCCGTGGAACTTGAACACGATAAAAATTTCCACAATTTCCAGAAAATTTTTAACAGTATACAATTGAATTGTATCACCTGTATTCTCTTCTTGAGACTAGAAATGATGGAGTTCTGCCTGGCAGCCTGTTCTCTCAATTGATCAGCCTCCACCTGTAACTCCAGCACCCGCGCGTCCCTCGATCTCACCGTAGACTTCATTTCCTCCAGCTGCAGAACAAACAGACACTCACACATCCCCAGAACAAATCAAACAATTACGATCACCAATTTGTTAAATACAAAGACTCACTTCAGCTGAAAGTCGATCTCGTTTGTACTCCAATACCGCCAATTCGCTCTTCAGGCACGTCGTGACATCGTGGGTCATATCTTCCTGCTCTAACTGGAATATTGTTGAATCGATAAGTGACCCAATACTTTTTCCTCATTTCATCTCGAACGATAGTTCAACATCTCGAGGAAGTTCATCGTCCAACTCCTCGAGTCGATAAATCATTCGTACGAAATTGATTCGATTTCAATTGGTGAAAAAAAAATCTGTTGCTAATTTTGAGATAGAAAATTGAAGAGAATCGTGCGATTGCGCCGACAATAGTCTCGTGATATACTATGGAAGCGCTGATTTCCAACGATCTAATTCTCATACTTGAATGCATAATAAAAATGAGAATTGAAAAAATAATGATATTGTAAAATAAATCGATAAGTAAATTCCTAACAATATAGTTTATTTAATGACTAGATGAAAAAATGATGTGTTCTCTTCCAAAAAACTTTTGGTTTTCTCTTCCAGATGATTGATTTCATGAGAAATTTATGTTTTTTAAAGATTCTCTTATTGTAAATAGATAATGGAAATTGTTTAAAATTCTTTTTCCACAGAGATCGGCAAGTCAAGGAAACAAATTAATATTAATTCATTAAATTGTTATTTAACAATTAACAGGCGAATATCACAACTAGTTCACTATGTTTATTTCTTCTACTTCTCAGAAATGAAAGGTTAATCGAATAAATTCATAACTTTATTGGAAATTATCGAAAGTGCAGATTTCTAATTTTTGTAGTTAAAAATCGATTCCCGTCCAGATTCTAGATATTTTCGAATTTCGTAAGCTTCGAACAAAATCATTTCCATAATGTAAAATTTATTGTTTATAAATAATTTACGACGAAGTTATAATCTTCAAAAAAGCAAATTTTGTACTTATTCCCATCACTCTTTTACTCCGACGGACGTGAATATTAAATTTTTTCATCCGTGCGGTTTTGTAGCAAATATGAGCCGGACACAAAGGCGAGGGCTGCGATCATACACGGAGAAAAATGTTCAGTAAAAATTACGGAATGCTCTGGAAAAATTCCCTGACAGTTCCGTAAAATTTCCTACATCCACATTTCGCTCCGGAATTACGGGAAAGATACGTAATTTTTATTGAATATTTCCCTCCGTATATGAGTTAGAAAGATTTTTTTTCGACCGTCTGACGAACAGTATTTTTTTTTTGCAATTACAAAAAAATCTAAACTAAGAAAAAAACGGAAATTACGTTCGAGAAGTCGTCTTTTACGCTTTCTGAAGAGTTTTTTGTGCTTGATGTTGGAGTGTTAAATTACACTCAAAATAGCCGTAAAACAATTTACGATTTCGTATTCGTTAATTACAATGATTTTTCCAGTTTTTTAGTTTACTTATTCATAATTAACTACTTATTGGTAATTAATTTATTCGTAATTAACGAGGATTTAAAAAAAGTTATTTCAAACGTAAAATACGATGTTTTGCTCGTAAATTACGCATAAGTAAATCGTAAAATAGGACCGTAATAGAAGCGTATTTTACGATTTCTTCAGCGTCAAATACGTTTAGTGACACGTAAAAGCCACTTTTTTGGAAATAATTTGCGTTTTTATTTATCGACATATTCATACATACAGTCATTTCTTAAAACCATAATTTATTCACGTTTCATGACATTTCTAGGCATTTCCCCCCCAAAAAATCACGCTTACAAAGTTTTCATTCCGAAGCAAAAATGAGAAATGTTTTAGATCATTGGTTTTTTAGTTTAATTTACGTCAATTGCAAAAATCATGGAAAATTGGAGGCAACTAGCGCAAAAAATCCAAACAATAAAAGAGTTTTAGTATTTCATCATCGCAAAAAAATGCAGTCCCTAAAATTGTCAATAAAATTACGAAAACCGTGAGATGAAGCCGGCGCACAAACTATCCAACCATATACATGTAAATCGGTCTACGACTCGTGATAGGGCATTTCGTGACAACACTCTCGGTACAATACACGATCCCGTATATCCAAGAAGAAGCGACAGCTAATTCTGAAAAATGCCCATTGCTACAAAATACTGAACACAAAAAATTCCCCGTTTCCGCAATAACTAACAGTGCAACAATGTTAATGATATTTGAATGTCTCGTGTCATTACGAAGAATTTGAAGAAGTATACTCTATACTTGGACGTGAACAGGTGAAAAATCGATCGGATGGAATACTATGGCAACGCGCCCTTATTCTCACAGGTCAATATTTCTTGACGTCAAACTATTGTTTATGAAAAATCCAATTGAATCCATCAATCAAATTAAAATTGAGAAAACAAAAAAAACAAAAGGAACAAAACACAAAATAAAGCAAATTTTTTTATTTCATTTATTCTAACTGTTACAAAATGTGAAAATTTTACTCGTGGACTGACGAAACTAAAAATAAGTGCGTATTTATTCTGATTTTTCTGTTTTTTATGACCTTGTCTGGTGATGAAATACAGAGAGTTTCAAAAATCCTGAGATCCTCCTCGGTGTTCCCCGGAGTCTCCTTCGGAGATTCTTCAGAACTCGCCATCGTCTATATCTAGTTAATCCTCCCTTCTGCCCCACAAGATTAGCCCCAGCTGATTAAACTTTTTCGAATGATTTATATAAACTCAACATCTTGAGACAAACTTGTTCTCGGGCTCATGAGTAATCCCCGGACATTTTTTTCATGTTAATGAGAACAGAAAGAACGGAACAGAACAGGTTCGAACGCACGTGCAGACGCGAGGGGTAGTGTGTAAAAGTGTTGGCCTCCCTCCGATTGAATGTCAACACGCGAGGCTCAAGGTTGCTGTCGACGCCATTGCACTCGGGTATTTGCATACCCAGACGACAATGTCCAGAGAGAGCAATATTTGGTTTTTACATTGCATCAAAACAGGAGAATTGGGAGGATGATGTGTTTACTTCGGATTGGAAGAGATGAAGGTTTGAATGTGAAGGTGGGAAAGAAGGAAGTGAAGTTGTCGGTCGATTTTCTTGTTATCCATTTTGCTTGAGGGGGTCTACTTTAGCTGTTGTTGTAAATGTCGGTATTTTGTGTTCAAAATAATTGGCTCTTATTTTCGCGCCATTCAATCAACCACTTTTCTCCGATAGAGAAATTATATGCCCTTTTCTCACTCAAGATGGGTGATAATGCCTTTGAATGTCCCATTAATTCCAACCGATTTCATACCGCGATGTTGAATGATAGTGGAGATGTGAATTTTCAATAATAATAATAATAATAATAATAAACGAAATGAATGAATGAATGATTGAATGAATGTTTTCTTCTCATTCGCGACTGTCAGGCCTATCGCTACTACCAAACATGCCATTGTTCTTTTTGATTTCGATGACAAAATCATCTATGTCATTGAGTTCTCGGCTCCAGGTGAGAGCAATATAACAACTAAGAGGACAAGCGGCTCAAGTATCAACCACTCTTGTTTGAACTACGCCAACCGAACCGGGGATTCAGAGTAAAATTGATTGTCCTCATTATTAGCGCTCCGCGGGGAATAAAGCAGTCCTTCATATCTGCGCTCGAAACGATCCGAGCCTATAGGCGTAATGCCTTCATATTAGCTGGCCAAATGCAGAAGGCTGTCATCCTTGGATCCCTTCGTCTACTTAGGCAATATGATTCTAGACTGCAGTAGAGCTCACCCTCTGGTTAGGGAGAGCACTATTGTATAGCGATTAGTGAATGCGGTTCTGTGACCCACATTGTCTCTCATCAGAAAAATAAAATTTGAGGATATGGATGAAGAAAAGGTATCGTTTATTTGTTTATTACGAATGAATGTTTGACATTTCTAATTTTTTAAGATATTTTACAGTTCTACCGGGTGATTTCATCATTCATAATTTATTTATTTATCATTGATGTGTTCGGCCACAAACTCGGCAACACCATAGAGTCCATACACTAAGAGGGCGACAGTGGCACCGAACATGATTTTGTCGGGGGTTCCTCCCATGAGGTATACTGGGGTGGTTCTCCAGCCTGGTTGCTGCAGAAAAAAATAAACGGATGATCTCTTGTCTTGTTACAAAAATTAAGTCGTGTTTTTTAAAGGATGAGTGGAGAGTTTACCTGGAATTTCTTCATCTTAGCAATCAATCTGGGGGGCACAGTGCCTTTCCTTGGAGCACCACCAGGAGGAGGAGGAGCACCACCAGGAGTAGAGGCAGCGCCTCTAGCTGGGACGTCTACCTTGACAACTTGTGTTTTTATGCTGTCCCAGATCATCTTCGGTGGTTCTGATTGCAGGGGGTTTGGTGACTGCAAGGATCGAGAATGACAATCGGAGTTGATATCAATACACCCGAAAAAAATTTCATAGAGACCTCGCGAATTCGATAGAAAATGCGACTGGGTTTCTATTGAAGTTCTATTGAAAATTCTATTCGTCTTTGGTCGATTTTATTTTATAGAAAACGTCCAAAGGAAACTATTTCATAGAAAAAATGAGCACAATTTTTCCTTTTCTATACATCTGTTCGATTGAGGCTTGTTCTAGTAGAATTCCTCAAAGAAAAAATTTCTATACGATTTCCAAAGGTTCTTTCAATCGATTTTTCTTCTTGTTTCATTAACACATGAAACAACTGAGAAAATTGAAGTCGAGGAATTTTTATAGAAAATATCCCTCTGAGAAATAAGTGCTTAAATCTACAGGATTGATTTACACTATCAGTAATGTTCTATTAACTTAATCTAATGATTTACGCTTCTTACTATCTTTGATTTTAGATATTTAATCTACTACTTATGATAAATTTGTGTGATATTTTAAGGATTTTTGGATCTGTTGTTTTCAATAAAGGGGTGAGTTCGGAAAAGGGTGGCCTGTACTTAAAATTCATCAAATTGACAGGAAGACAAATGTAAAATACTACGATGCAACACAAAAATATAGAAGTAAAAGTGCAATTAATAAAAGTAGGGGATTGAAAACAAGAGAACACGAGATAATAATGGGGGGGGGG